CAATCTATGATAACATTAGATTTTCCATATATAGTATTGCAATTAATCAAGTTATTTTGAATTTCATAAGCAAATGGAAATGTCACATTGGATTTGGGATGCCACATGTTATATTTTCGTTTTAAATTTCAAATTTCCAACCATATGGGTATAATTACAATCTATGGTAACATTGGATTTCTCTTATATGGTATTGTCATTAATAAAGTTTTTTTTTAATTTCAAATTTCTAACTATATAGATATGATCACAATCTATGGTAACATTAGATTTCTCATATATGGTATTATCATTAATCAGGTTTTTAATTAATTAAGATTGAGGGTAGATGTGTTATAAGAAAACCACAGGACCTATGGGTTATAAGTTTTTTCATAAGACCATATCTTGTATAAGTCTTCTAAATAGGACTTATAAATAATTACTTTTTTTTTAATTTAACACAAATAATAATTAGTAAATTAGTAGCTAAATCATAATCAATCATTTGGTTAATAATTAGGACTATATAGGACTTATAAATAGGTCTATTAGTAAATTAGTAGGACTTATAATCAACCATATCTTGTATAAGTCTTCTAAATAGGACCATATCTTGTATAAGTCTTCTAAATATGACCTCTTTGGTTATTTGTTTGGTAAAAAATTTGGGATCTATAGCATTTTCCTAAAACTAAAGGTAATGTTAGGGATATCAAATTTTCTACCAAACATATTACCAAATGTCTCACATGGGTATGGGATCCACAATTTTGTAGACCCCACACCCATGTGAGACATTTTGTTATTTGTTTGGTAAAAAATTTAAGGCCTATAGCATTTTCCTAAACTAATGGCTCTCATTAAGTTTGAATCTGAAATTTTACTGATACAAATGCCTTCTCCACAACCACTAGTATATTAATAGTTAAATTATACTTAAACTAACGGCTCTCGTTAAGGGGGTTTTTTTTTTTTTTTTTCCCTTTGAATGAGCTCTCATTAAGTTCGAATCTGAAATTTTACTCACTTTGATACAAATGCCTTCTCCACAACCACTTTTGAAAACTTGAAAGTATAATGAAGCCAACTCAAGTTGAGCGGATCCAATCTGAACTCTGTGCCATATTCTTAATCCATATGAATGTGCATATGATACATACCTTTTGAAAATTGATGGTTTAAGCCCTATGTGAGTTGTTGAGGGTGATTCCCTTCCTTTTTGTTTTTTAGAGTAATTTTCATTGGTTTTGTTGGAACAACTTACAATTACACATTCACAAGTTGGATTTATTAGCTTTGGTACTCTCTTTTTTGTAAGTTAAAAGTTAATAATTAGAAGCAATAATTAAAATATTTTTTTATCTACTTCTCAATAATCAATCATTTTCAACTTATTTAAAATCTTTTTACCTCATAAATTATAAATAAAAAATGCGTCAAACATTCTAACATAGTTTTAAAAAAAAAATTAAAAATTTATAAAAATAATTCCATAAGCTCCACCAATCCATTCTATTGTCAACCACTTCAAACCAATGTTACATTTGTGTTACTCCTGTTTAGTATTTGGGTTCAAGGTTTCACACTAAACAAACCTTAGTCATAAAATGACCAAGTTGGATGTGATTGAATTCTTGGGCCCAATAACATTAGGCCTGGCCAGCACCTTGCAAACTTTGAATCCCTATCCAGTAAGAATTTCACAATTGGGTAAGTAAAATCTTTGTTCATTCATACCCTAAAACTTTAGGTCAAATTTATTTTGAATTACTTTCTTCAGCTTTTGGGCATGCCACATTCCATTCCAGATTATTTAGGTGCTTACACCTTTAACAGTTTTGACTCTTACAAAGTAGTTGGGATTTGCTGTTTCTCCGTAGTCTTAACAATCACTTCAAAAATATATATTATTCTTTTTAGACTTAAAATATTGGCAATTTCAAACTCATATATTCTGTGTAATATATTATACCTTAATAGATAGTTTTTTAGTATATCTTTAATGTTGTGTTTGATTAAGGGATTTGAAGAGGAATTTGAAAAGAAAAAAGGGAAAAGATGTGTGAAACTAAGTGAAATATAAGTATATTTTATTCACATTTCACCGACATTTTTCATTTCTCTTTCCAAATCCCTTTTCAAATCTCCTAACTAAACACAGCATAAAGGAGCATAATTCTTTCTAGGACACTTTGTTTTTTTTTTTTTCTGATGGCTGGATAAACCTTTATTTCTATTTTTTTTTTTTTTTTTTTTTTTTTTTTTTTTTGTCCGAGGTATAAATCCTTTACGTAGGAGAAAAAATTTCAAAGTATAAACTTTAAGGTACGGGATGCCGTGATTGGGGAATTGGCATCCTGTTTAAATTATTCATTTTTTAATGGATAATTTTGGTTTTTAACTTTTATCCAATTTCTTAACACATAATTAACATGACATAAAAAAAAAAATTAAAAATAGTATTCTAAAATTAATACAAGAGATAAATTACAAAAATTCTGAATATAATTTGCCCTATAAATAATTTCAAGTGCACAGTTCAATAGCAATAGCAAGTGGTGTTTCATCCAAAAGTGACGATATATTCATCTTCAATGTGAGAATTTTCACTTTAAGAAAGTGTGAAAGTTATTAGTTGACTCAAATATAGAGAAAGACAGATTGAAAAAATAGCATATTAAGGTTGGGTTTGATAATTGATTTTTTTAAGTAGTCTTTTTGTTGAATTTTTTTCTACTAGATTAGACCGATTTAATTTTTTTAATGATTTTTTTCTAATTAAAAAAAAATATTTGGATTCTTCTAAATTAGATGAATCTAAAAAGACAAACTTTTGAGACAATTTTTTTTTTTTAAAATTGGTTTGTAGAGGAAAATTTGAATTTGGAGTTGTGCAGCCGTAATTGTTGACTTTTGATGAATAGTGTTAACTTTTTAACTTTTTGAGTAACTTTTTGGCTTTTTGGCTTTTTTTGAAGTCCCCAAACTTAGCCTTAGGTTGGGTTTGATAATTGATTTTTTTTAAGTAGTCTTTTTGTTGAATTTTTTTCTACTAGATTAGACCGATTTAATTTTTTTAATGATTTTTTTCTAATTAAAAAAAAAATATTTGGATTCTTCTAAATTAGATGAATCTAAAAAGACAAACTTTTGAGACAATTTTTTTTTTTTTTTTAAATGTGACTTTTCTACAATAGATTGAGAAATTAAAATTAAAAAAAAAAAAAAGGGTTTCGGCCCATGCTAAAAGTTTCATGGGCTTAATTGACAAACCCAATGAGGAGCAAGAGGACTGTCCTTGTCTTAATCAAAGCAAGGGTGAAACCATAATTTTACATTGTGCCAATTGTTAATCTCTCACTAATTTAATCATGTAATTTTCATTATCATTATTTAACTTTATACTCCATATCTTATCTTGTCGAGGTGGGGAGGTGGAAAGAGTTTATAAAATAACAAAATTTTTCTCTAGTACAATGTATTGGACCGTTGAGTTAGATTGGTGATGATTACCACAAATCCTATTCCAATGATATGATCGGTTCATTTTGTATGGCCTTATAGATAATTATCATACTAAAACCTATAATCAATCCACTGTCAAAAAATAATGGCTTTTCGATAACTTTAATTTGAAATTAAAGTAAGACCCAATTGCTGATTAATGTGGGTCTGAGTGATTTTGTATTCAACTTAAAGTAAGACCCAATCGCTGATTGATGTGGGTCTGAATGATTTTGTATTCTCTTAAGTGAGAAGATTGTAATATAAAAATAATGAGCCGAAACCATTGAGTTGTGAATGAGAATTGTCTCATAAAGTAAGCATCAATAAAGTTGGATTTAGATTTGGACTTAGTCTTGGTTTGGACTGGGCCTAGACTTGTACTTGTGCATGTGATGGGTTTATCTTAGAGTTGAACTTGGACCTAGTCTTGAGTTTTGGGTTAAGCTTTGTTGGGCTCAGTTTGTGCATGTGTTTGAGATTGGGTTGTGACCCAACACCGTATCCATTTTGCAATCTATCTAGTTTAATTCTCAAAACTTATGCATTATATACATATTATGATTTATATAATGGTTTTGGAGTTTTGAACCTTTGTAACTCTATCCCTAATGGCTAGAGTTAATGACATTTGATAACCCCATTAATATTAGCCTTCAAGACTAAGGCTCCTCCCTACAAGTATAAATAAAGGTCTTTCTCCTCTAACTTAGTAGGTTGTTTTAGAGAAGTTTTGTGATGGAAAATGAGATAGTGTTTTGAGACAAAAAGTTGGAGATGGTTTTTTACACCAAAGAATTTGTTTTCTTATCTTCTTTTGTTAGCCTCTTCTTTGGTTTTTGTTAGAGATGGTGCATCCATTATCAAGTTCACCGAACCTATTCAGAAGATACTTCTATATTAGCTGGTTTCGACCGTCGTATCCTGTGAGACAAACACCGGCGTACCTCCAGCATCCCTCAGGAAGCAGTGAATCTGTTTTAAGAAAACTATCTAATGTAGATTTCGGTTTGCTTCTTTTCTTATCATTTGTTTTTAAATTTTTCAATATTTATTTTACAAAAATGAGTTCTAATCTTTAGTTATCTATGTTAATAATTTGTTCTATTAGTAATGTAATCTAATTCATTTCTATATTTTTAATTGTGTCGTTTATTTTGTATTTCATCTTTTTAGTAAAAAAATTATTTTATCATTTCTATTTAATTTATTTTATATATTTTTCAGGAAAAAAATACCAACACCCACAAACCCAACTAAATGCTGTGGATTGGAGACAGGCTGTCTTTTTAGTACAATCATCCAAGCACAGTTAAGCAAAAGCATTGATGTGTCAAGTATTTGGATGTTTGATTTCTAAAAACAATATCGTCTGCTCCCTAAAATCACGTCATTTAAAACAAAAAAGGATAAGTTTTTTTTTTTTTTTTTTTTTTTTTTGGTGAAACAAAAAAAAGGAAAAGTTTTTTTTTTTTTTTTTTTTTTTTTCTTTATTAAAAGATTCTTTCAACAAAGAAAGTGAGGCACAAAAAAAAGAAAAGAAAGGAATAATGTTATGTTACATATATATGAAATATAGAATGAGGATTGGAATTAGAGGATCAGAAGCTTGTATGTATGCATATGGGATTTACTAACAACAAGCAAAAATGGGAGCCAAAGAAACTGTCTTGTTCCTCATCATCCTCTCCTTCCACTTCTATCATCCGCCATCATTATTTTCTCTTGCAAATAACTTGCCTTCTTCAGGTATATTTCTTTCTTCTTTATATAAACTATCAATTTTTATGTGTTTAGTCTCTAGAGTTTTTTTATTTCAGTTCATACGGTTCAATAAGAAACGTTCATCCCAATTAGTAGTGTTGAAAGCGTAGCTTAATAGGCAGAAAGATAATTTTACAATTTGGACAACTTAAATCATATAACAAAATGCTCACCCCTCCCACTCCGTCATCCTCTGCCTATCCCAAACCTCACTTAATTGGTTCAAATTATGCAATTACGTGTTTTCTCAACAAATTAATTGTTATTGATTTGGACAACCGTCTCCAATTGGACCACATGAGCTGAAATCATAAATTTACAACTCCCTGTCTCTCTGATTGTATGAAAATAAAGCAATTCATGAAATGAAACCAAACTAGAAACTGAAATTCTCCCTTTGTTTCTCTGTTTAGTGCAACCTCTTTGCTGACATGACTCATGTTTAAGCTAGTTCTATAATTTTCAAACTACCTAATTCATATAAATAAATAAAAAAAGAGGTTATAATATAAATGAATTTCTGATTAGATTGTTTTATTATTAGACACGAAAAAAAGGGTCTCACATACATTTTTTAATATAGATTCAACTAATTTTGTGTCTCGTGATAAGAAAAACTGAAGAGAAATTAAATGACGTTTACAATTACTAATTTCATATCCAATCAATTTACATCTAGACTTTGTTACATCCATGTCTCACCGCACGTGCAGCTAATAGTTAAGAGGTTTAATATGGGAAGTTTATTTTAGAATAATTTTTTAAGGTTTCATCTTCAACTCTTCAAAGCACAAAATTATTCGGGCTTAACACGTATACATGTTTGCGAATAATTTTTTGTTTCTGGAATTTATTTATAAAGTGTTATATTGTATGACAGATTGAATAGGTTAGACTTCTCTATCATCAGAATATATATATATGAAAAGATTTCAATTGCAGAGAATAAAGTCATCACTTTCTTTGTCTTATAAATTCTTACCCCTTTTTGAAAAACTCTGTGCTCAAAAGAATCAAGCAAAGGATGGTGGTGCCACCTTTTCTGCCACTAGTTTCTGAGTTGGATATTGTTCCAAATTCCTGATGAGTCTTTATGCACAACTCAAATCAGGATATTATGATTATGTTTGGTGTAAATTGTTTATAATTTTTTTTATTTTAAAAATTGTGTCAAGAGTGTTTTATGTAAGTTCTATCTACAGTTTATAGAATTTTAATAAAAAGTTGGCATCGAACAAACCCTATGTACAAGCAATTATTAACCAAATTGTATAAACAGCTAACATACCATTAGCTCAAGTGCTTATGGAATTTCTATGTAAAATCATTCTATGTAAAATCATCACATGTCTAGCGGACATAGGTGTGAAATCTTTTGTCTTTGGTCATTTTCACATCATATCATATTTTAGATTTATGTCGAATCCTTTTTTGTACTAAATTATGTCAAGTATTCTGACACTAACTTAACATACTAATAATATACGTCAACTAAACATGACACGAGTAATAAAATTAACAAACATTAACACACATGATTCGGTTTCGTGATGGAAATTTCCACCCCTACATCAAACACAAAATCAACTGACCAAAATCTTTGATATTGAGTGCAAAATTTTACAGTGACAGCTGAACTTAAATCCACATTGCATCTACAGCTCTTTTGCAGAAAAAAGTAGGAGATACAGAATTGGATAAAGATAGTAGTAGCTCCACTCATGGTGGTGGAAATGGAATAGCCCACCACAGCAATTATGCCTATAGTGCCAGTACCAGAGGTGGTGGTGGTGGCAGCAGAGGAGCAAGTGGCGGCCGATCAGGCGGCAGTAGTGAGGAAGGAAATGGAGGTAGCTCCACAACCCCTAACACAGCAGCAGGCACTGCTGTCATTCCCTTATATGCAGCCGGCGCTGCCAATGGCCACCGCAACACCCACCACGGCGCTGGCAGCTGCAACCAGAGCTGCGTAGATGTTTCCACTTTGTGTGCTCTAATCTTGGCATCTCTTGTTGTACATATTTATGTAGTACTTGGAGTCGAAAACCTAACTAAGCCTGTGTAAAATGAAGAGTTTCTTACTTCATAATGCTATGCACTTGAAAAAAAAAAAAAAACAAAAATACCTGTAAAATAAAATATGCAGAGTAGATTCATTCTAGGTGTGAATCTATGTCGTATACTTCTAATGCTTATTTTGAAAGCATAGCTTTTCTGTTCTTGCTTTACCATGTTAGTGGAGACTCTTATGTTTTAGCCTTTTCATTTACAAGTCCTTTTTCAACCAATGTATTTGCTTTCAGTATTTTACGCATACATAGGGGGTGTTTGGGAGGTCATTATTTTAGTAGTTTATTTTAGTTTTTAACTATTTTAGTAGGTTAAAATTTTTATGTTTGGAAAGATAATTTGATTTGTTTATAGTTATATGTGATGTTTATGAGAAAAGTGAAATGATTATAGATTTGATATGACATTTTATCTTATTAGCTATTTTAACTCTTTCTTTCTTCTTTTTTTTTTGAATTTTAACCGAAAGAATTTAAATCAATACACATTAAATTACGGGAAAAAATTTTGGCATAGTTATAGTAAGTTAAAATTTTTATATTTGGATAACTATTTTAGTAGGTTAAAATTTTTATGTTTGGAAAGATAATTTGATTTGTTTATAGTTAAAAAAAAAAAAAAAAAAGTGTGTGAAATGATTATAGATTTGATATGACATTTTGGCATAGTTTGGGAAGTTGGTTTTGGTGGGTTAGGGGCTAAAATAGTCACAAAAAATAAAATAAACTATTTTAGTCATAAAAAATAAAACATTAAATCCAACACATAATCATTACACTCCTCTCTCATAAAAAAAGTCAAAAAAGTCAAAAAGTCAAAAAGTCCTTTCCAAACCAGGCTTTTTAGCCCCAGGCTAAAATAGTAAAAAACCCAATCCACTTCCCAAACAGAGGCTTTATCTTATTAGCTATTTTAACTTTTTTTTTTTTTTTTTTTTATTTAATTTTTTAATTTTAACCGAAAGAAAGGCTAAAATTCACCTTGCCAACTACTTTTTAGACTTTTTGATTATTTGACCATTTTAATAAGTTATTTTAGTTTTCGGGTTTAGAAAGGGGGTGTGAATTTTTTGTTAAATTGTTGCATTAGAAAATGTGTTTGAAATGATGGTGTTATACAAAATGACCAAAGTGCCCCCTACCCAACTTGCCAACTACTTTTTAGGCTTTTTGATTATTTGATTATTTTAATAAATTATTTTAGTTTTTGGGTTTGGAAAGGTGTAAATTTTTTTTTGTTGAATTGTTGCATTAGAAAACGTGTTTGAAAGGATGGTGTTATACAAAATGACCAAAGTGCCCCCTAAAAGAAAAAAAAAAAAAGTAATCAACGACGTGGCAGTGAGGACACTGCCACGGCCAACTTTTTGGATTTATGATACAAATATATTACAGAAATATTTATTTGTGAGAAATGAAAAATGTACATGTTAGGAATAAAAAATAAATTGACATATTTATAAATAATTGGTATATTAATTAACAAATCTCATGACATTATATTTTAACCTCACCCATTATTTAAATTATAAGTATTCAAAACTTCTAAAATTATTACTAATCATCTATTAGTACATTTAATATACAAATTAGTGCATAAAGCATTATTGATTTATAAGATAGTTTACTTGTAATTGTCAAATAAGACTTTTAAAAAAATGATAAATTTCTTTACTTGAACAAACTTTGAATTAAATTAAATAATAAATTTGAGCAATATTTGAATTTTAATTATAAAATTTACGAATTACAAAAAACTGCAAAATTGTAACAAATTTCAATTGTCCTTATACAAATTAGAAAATAAAATAAAATTATTACTGAAATTGCCTAGAACTTTACCTTTTAATTATAGAAATTACAAATTAAAATGAATGACAAATTTGTATGGAATTTTACCGCTGCCGATCAAAAATTACGAGTTAACTTATTAAATTGGCAACTTTGTCTGAAATTTAACTGTTAATGTTTAAAAATTAGAAATGCAAATAAAATACGAGTACCCTACCCAAAAAAAAAAAAAAAAAATCAATATACAAATTACAAAGTAGGAAAAAAAAATTGCAATTTCTCTTATGAAATTTGACTTTGCATCAAATTTTGAACTTCCCATTAGGTTCAAAGTTGAAAGAAATTTGACTTTCAATTATACCAATAACGAAGTTTTAAAAATTACAAATTTGATAGAAACTGGATTTACAAATGTAAGAATTACGAAATACACACATTTCCAAGTTCTTTAGAAACTTGACTTTTCATTCCAAAATTTACGAATTTACATGCAAATCGTAATTTTGTACCAAATATGGGTTTTACTTATAAAAATTACGATTTACAGTAAATATATAATAATAGAACAATATCGTTTTCCATAATTTAAGTCTACAACGATTTGTTATAGCTTTTGCAATAAATTTGCATCCATAATTAAAAGTCATGCTACATGGATCCAATTATGACATCATACATTCCGAATACAGAACAATTATTTCACAATAGTCCTTGATTGTGTATGTGAAACAAATGGTCGCGAATGTGAATGCAAACTCTTCCCATATCCACATCCGTATCCCCAACCACGAGGCCATCGACCATATTTTCTCCTCCGTCCGTGATGGGCATGTCATCCGGAACTAACAAGCATCTGACATGTTCATTGTGGGTATTAGCAGCTATCTCATGTCTACGGATGAAATTGTGTAACGCTAGTTAATTTATATATAAGCAAATTATTGAATTGTACGAAGCAAATCTGTTTGAAGAACAGATTTACAAGAACAGATTTAAAAATTTAAAAATAAAAAATTGTAATATAATTGCGGAACAGATTTGAAAACACAAATGTGCAGAACAGATTAGTGTTAAAATCACAACAGATGTATATTACTATTAATTTTTTGTCGAACAGTTAATTTATGTATTCTACTCATAACCAAATTATTCAACTGTAAGAAGCAAATCTGTTTGAATAATACATTGCGAACAACAGATTTGAAAAAAAAAAACAGCAACGGAAACACCAAAGCAGAACAGATTTTCAAAACAGAAAGCTTCAGACCAGATTAGTTTTACTATCAACAAAAATGTTTACTAGTTTCAACAGTTGTCACACAGTTCATTTATGTTTGGTACTCATAAGCAAATTATTCAATTGTATCTTGCAAATCTATTTGAAGAACATATTTACAAGAATATATTTCCAAAAAAAAAAAACACAGCAAAAAAAAAAAAACGCAGCAATATACCTGCAGAACAGATTAGTTTATCACAAAAAATGTATATTAGTTTCAATTTCTTGTCCAACAGTTAATTTATGTTTTGCACTCATAAGCAAATTTTTCGACTGGAATAAGCAAACCTGTTTGAAGAACAGATTTCGAAGAACAGATTTAAAAAAAAAAAAAAAAGAAAGAAAGAAAGAAAGAAAGAAACACAGTAATATAACCGCAGAACAGCTTTTGCAAACAAAAATCTGCAGAACAAATTAATTTTCACATGGTGCACAAAAAAAGTATGTTAGTTTCAATTTTTGGTCAAACAGTTATTTTATATATTGTACTGATAAGGAAATTATTCAATTGTATCTTGCAAATCTGTTTGAAGAACAGATTTACAAGAACAGAGTTACAAAAAAAAAAAAAACACACACACACACACAGTATTATAACTGCACTACAGATTTTCAAAAAATATTAAAATTAAAATTAAAAATTACATGTAGGAGCATCCATGTTTGAGGCATAACAACAGATTGGCTGGGTTGTTTTGCCCTAAAACTGGGAAAAAAGTTGAACCACTAATTAATTTAACAAAATTTCTATTTTAAATTTAATAATGTTGCCAAACTGGTACTTTATATATATATATATATTTTTTTTTTTTGTACTCCAAAGATTTTGAAGAACATATTTTGAAAAAAATAAATAAATAAATAAAAATTTATATTTGGACAACAGAGTTTGCAAAAAAAAATTAAAAAAAGGGGCATCCATGTTTGAGGGAGAACAGCAGCTTGGCAGGGTTGTTTTGCCCAAAAAATGGGGAAAATGTTGAACAACTAGTTAATTGAAGAAAAAATTAAATATTAAATTTAATACTTTGGCCAAACTGTTAATTTACATTTTGTGCTTGGAACTATTTTTTAAAATTGTAAGAAGCATCCATGTTTGATGAACTGATTTTTAAGAATAAATTTTGAAAAATTAAATAAAAAATTTATAATTGCACAAAAGATTTTGAGGAAAAAAAAAAAAAAAAAGAAGAGCAAAACAACAACTGAGTCTCTGGGTTGTTTTGCCCAATTTTTGAGTCCCATAACAACTGAAACAGCAAATTTCAAACTACAAAATTTTAAAAATAAAAAAATAAAATAAAATAAAATAATAGGGGAAAAAGTTCATAGGTGCAGATCGGTACTTGTACAACAAAATACGATCAATAGGGCACAAATTACAGTTAGCAATACCTGAAACAGTGGAGAGTTAGCTGCATGGTTTGCTTGAGAGAGAGTCGCTGGAGTGAGATTCGTCGGAGAGAGGTACGTTGAACGTCTTCAAGCCCTTTCTTCAGTGGGTGCGAGAGATGAGAGAGATGAGAGCGTGTTGTCACGTACCGACTCATTAGGGGTGCGAGTTCTACACCAAGCACCTTACAAATGCATTAATTTGTGAGCTACAAGACAGGCAGGGTAGATCCTTATCGCATCTCCTAGGTTGGTCCTTGGGTATATTGCACGGGATATGCAATACCACTCGTGGAGCCGGCTTCTCGGAAGGATGACAAGCGCCCAGTCCGTGACAAAGTGGTATCAGAGCTTAGGTTAAGGGCATTGTAATGGGGACGGTACGTAGGACTTACACCAAACACCTTCATTGTGGAGTCCATGGGTAGGGTAACAAATAAGCATGGAGGCAGGCAGGGTAATGTTCCCCTGACAAGGACATCAGGGACTGGCAATGGTAGCATGTCACATACCAACTCGTTGGGGGTGCGAGTTCTAGACCAAGCACCTTGCAAACGTATTAGTTTGTGAGCGGCAAGACAGGTAAGATAGATCTCTATTGCATTTCTTGAGTTGGTCCTTGGGCATATTACACGAGATATGCAATACGACGCATCTCTTGGGTTAGTCCTTGGACATATTACAGGGAATATGCAATACCACTAGTAGAGCCGGCTTGTTAAGAGGATAATATACGCCCAGTCTGTGACAATGTGCCTCAAAGCTTGCTCTGATGTTGATATGAGCCTTATGTTTAGTCAACGGGTGAAATGGTCTTTTCATCCTCTATTGCTTACCAGCTGGACAGCTTTTTTTCAGGCTCAGCAACAATGAGGCTAAATTGTTTTTTCCTCCAACAGGCCAAAACAGCCTAAGCCACCGGTTCCCAAACATATGGTACAAAATGTTGTAGGTATAACTAATGTTGCAAATAACTTAATGTATGTGTGAAGTACACCATAATAATTCAATCCGCTGCCTTAGCGGTTAATGGGTCAAAATTTGGTACTAATTGTAAACTCAGACATCTTGAATATCACTACTGTTACACAGGCTTAACTTGTAGTCTGCTAGTGATCGACATGTATAAGAGATTTACTCAAAAAAATGGGTCCCAAAAAAAAAAGGTCGGTTCCCCTACCACTATCCTTGTCCAAGAGCAAAATACCAGAGTTGTAACCATCAGCAACAATACACAACTCTTTTTCATCCCAACATAAAGAAGATATAATCAGTAATAAAAAGAAAAAAGAAAAATAGGATAATTGGCCATGTTAATGGGCCATGTCAAGGACTAGTTGCCCTAAATTTCTTCACTGAAACTCAGATCATCCACTCAGAACAACACAAATAGAGTGAGTTTTGTGATAACTCTCATCAGCAATCTACCCCAATTCAGTTATTTCCTGCACACAACGAACATAATGGCGAACGCTAAATGCAACTTCAAATATTCAAATTAGATACACTGATCGTTTCCCTGATAGATTTTTAGTAGTGATTTCAACAATCTACAGAACAACATGACTACAGTACTGTAGATAGATTTCAAAGGCTACCAATACAACTCAAAAATAAACAAATAACATACAGCACGTTCATCTCAGATTATATCCTGCAAATTATTGTGACCAAGAACCGATCACGGGGTATAACAGGTAAAAAGATTCCACATTCCAGCAACAAACTTCATATACAGGACCACGTAAATTTTTTGTACACTGAGAGAACAACTAAAACTAGTTTTATTTATCCCATCAACATCTGAAACCTTTGCAAGCTATTAGCCACAGTATGACAATTAGGGCAACGACCGTTCCTCCTACCATCAGCTTCATTTGGAGATTCTGCAGCCACATCTTCCGTCGTAGTTGCCTTCCCTGCCTCTGGAAGCTGTCAGCCTGAATTCAAACACGTCACAAGCACATCATCAACAAATTTCAAATATTTTTTTATTTTTTGACATTTCACCCACCAGACAATGCCGATGCATACCTGGAACTGGAGGTTTTCTGTTTTATCCACCAGGAGTTCAATTTTCTCCCCACGATCCAAAACCTGCAATGCAGGAAAAGACAAAATCATTTGTCAGATAAGCAATTGAAGACTCATGGTATCGTCACCTGACTAGGTCAGAGCCACATGGGAGAGGAGATCAAGTTTGTGGAGCTTTGGGGGATGATTTAGAGTTCGGTGAACTGGATAACATGTGATGCATATTAAAATCACGATCCAGATCGTAGAGTAGGATCATAGCAGAATGGTACAGAAGTTGTTAGGAACATAAGATCATGCATTGAGTTTGTACGATCCTATTCTTCAAATTATTTTTGCAAATTTTTTATGGATCTTTCCATTTTTTCACTTTTTAGCTCAAATAACAATAATAAATAAGAGCTGGTAAAAAAATAATAACAAATAAAGCTCACAACTCAATAAATGTCATGAATTAACCAACTACAGTTTTAGTTTTCATTTACATTTTGCAACAAAATCCTAAATAGTTAAGGGGTGACTATTTTGGAATATTTTGCGTTGAGCAATCCAACAAGGTATTAAAAAAAAAAAAAAACACACACACACACACAGTATTATAACTGCACTACAGATTTTCAAAAAATATTAAAATTAAAATTAAAAATTACATGTAGGAGCATCCATGTTTGAGGCATAACAACAGATTGGCTGGGTTGTTTTGCCCTAAAACTGGGAAAAAAGTTGAACCACTAATTAATTTAACAAAATTTCTATTTTAAATTTAATAATGTTGCCAAACTGGTACTTTATATATATATATATATTTTTTTTTTTTGTACTCCAAAGATTTTGAAGAACATATTTTGAAAAAAATAAATAAATAAATAAAAATTTATATTTGGACAACAGAGTTTAAAAAAAAAAATTAAAAAAAGGGGCATCCATTTTTGTGGGATAACAGCAGCTTGGCAGGGTTGTTTTGCCCAAAAAATGGGGAAAATGCTGAACAACTAGTTAATTGAAGAAAAAATTAAATATTAAATTTAATACTCTGGCCAAACTGTTAATTTACATTTTGTGCTCGGAACTATTTTTTTAAATTGTAAGAAGCATCCATGTTTGATGAACTGATTTTTAAGAATAAATTTTGAAAAATTAAATAAAAAATTTATAAATGCACAAAAGATTTTGAGGGGAAAAAAAAAAAAGAAGAAGAGCAACAGAGGCCCTGGGTTGTTTTGCCCAATTTTTGAGTCCCATAACAACTGAAACAGCAAATTTCAAACTACAAAATTTTAAAAATAAAAAAATAAAATAAAAAAAAAAAATAGGGGAGAAAGTTCATAGGTGCAGATCGGTACTTGTATAACAAAATACGATCAATAGGGCGCAAATTACAGTGCAATCTGAAGCAGTGGAGAGTTAGCTGCATGGTTTGCTTGAGAGAGAGTCGTTGGACTGAGATTCGCCAGAAAGAGGTACGTTGAACGTCTTCAAGCCCTTTCTTTAGTGGGTGCGAGAGATGAGAGAGATGAGAGCGTGTTGTCACGTACCGACTCATTAGGGGTGCGAGTTCTGCACGAAGCACCTTACAAATGCATTAATTTGTGAGCTGCAAGACAGGCAGGGTAGATCCGTATCGCATCTCCTAGGTTGGTCCTTGGATATATTGCACGGGGTATGCAATACCACTTGTGGAGCCGGCTTCTCAGAAGAATGACAAGCGCCCAGTCCGTGACAAAGTGGTATCAGAGCTAGGTTAAGGGCACTGTGATGGGGACGGTACGTGGAACTTACACCAAACACCTTCATTGTGTAGTCCATGGGTAGGGTAATAGACAAGCATAGAGGTAGGCAGGGTAATGTTCCCTCGACGAGGACATCAAGGACTGGCAGTGGTAGCATGTCACGTACCGACTCATTGGGGGTGCGAGTTCTACACCAAGCACCTTGCAAACGTATTAGTTTGTGAGCGGCAAGACAGGCAAGGTAGATCTCTATTGCATTTCTTGGGTTGGTCCTTGGGCATATTACACGGGGTATGCAATACGACGCATCTCCTGGGTTGATCCTTGGACATATTACAGGGGACATGCAATACCACTCGTAGAGACGGCTTGTTGAGAGGATAATAAACGCCCAATCTGTGACAGTGTGCCTCAAAGCTTGCTCTGATGTTGATATGAGCTTTATGTTTAGTCAAAGGGTAAAATGGTCTTTTCGTCCTCTATTGCTTACCAGCTGGACAGCTTTTTTTCAGGCTCAGCAACAATGAGGCTAAATTGCTTTTTCCTCCAACAGGCCAAAGCAGCCTAAGCCACCGGTTCCCAAACATATGGTACAAAATGTTGTAGGTATAACTAATGTTGGGCAAAATTTGGGACAACTCTTTTTCATCCCAACATAAAGAAGATATAATCACTAATAAAAAGAAAAAAGAAAAATAGGATAATTGGCCATGTTAATGGGCCATGTCAAGGACTAGTTGCCATAAACTTCTTCACTGTAACTCAGATCATCCACTCAGAACAACACAAATAGAGAGAGTTTTGTGATAACTGTCATCAGCAAATCTACCCCAATTCAGTTATTTCCTGCATACAACGAACATAATGGCGAACCTAAATGCAATATCAAATATTCAAATTAGATACACTGATCATTTCCCTGATAGATTTTTACTAGTGATTTCAACAATCTACAGAACAACATGACTACAGTGCCGTAGATAGATTTCAAAGGCTACCAATACAACGCAAAAATAAACAAATAACATACAGCACGTTCATCTCAGATTATATCCTGCAAATTATTGTGACCAAGAACCGATCACGGGGTATAACAGGTAAAAAGATTCCACATTCCAGCAACAAACTTCATATACAGGACCACGTAAATTTTTTGTACACTGAGAGAACAACTAAAACTAGTTTTATTTATCCCATCAACATCTGAAACCTTTGCAAGCTATTAGCCACAGTATGACAATTAGGGCAACGACCGTTCCTCCTACCATCAGCTTCATTTGGAGATTCTGCAGCCACATCTTCCGTCGTAGTTGCCTTCCCTGCCTCTGGAAGCTGTCAGCCTGAATTCAAACACATCACAAGCACATCATCAACAAATTTCCAATATTTTTTTTATTTTTTGACATTTCACCCACCAGACAATGCCGATGCATACCTGGAACTGGAGGTTTTCTGTTTTATCCACCAGGAGTTCAATTTTCTCCCCACGATCCAAAACCTGCAATGCAGGAAAAGACAAAATCATTTGTCAGATAAGCAATTGAAGACTCATGGTATCGTCACCTGACTAGGTCAGAGCCACATGGGAGAGGAGATCAAGTTTGTGGAGCTTTGGGGGATGATTTAGAGTTCGGTGAACTGGATAACATGTGATGCATATTAAAATCACGATCCAGATCGTAGAGTAGGATCATAGCAGAATGGTACAGAAGTTGTTAGGAACATAAGATCATGCATTGAGTTTGTACGATCCTATTCTTCGAATTATTTTTGCAAATTTTTTATGGATCTTTCCATTTTTTCACTTTTTAGCTCAAATAACAATAATAAATAAGAGCTGGTAAAAAAATAATAACAAATAAAGCTCACAACTCAATAAATGTCATGAATTAACCAACTACAGTTTTAGTTTTCATTTACATTTTGCAACAAAATCCTAAATAGTTAAGGGGTGACTATTTTGGAATATTTTGCGTTGAGCAATCCAACAAGGTATTATCAAAAGGAAAAATGATTTGTAAGCCGAAAGTCGAGCCAAAACCGACTGACATGTTCGACTTGAATTGGACAATGATATGATGGCCCACCACACCACCCAATTCAAGTTGAACACGTCAGTCGGTCTCTACTTGAATTTTGGATTGAAATCACTGCTTTGTTAAAAAAAAAAAGTGTTGCAATATCTTCTATGTTTTGAAATGTACTTGAGATTTTGACTCACAGCACCTTGCTTCTCATTTTTATTTTTATTTGGTTTTTTAGTTATTTGGATTTTTTAATTCATTTTATAGCTTCATGCTATTGTTTGATCAATAATGATTAATCATTAATGCAAGTAGATATACTAATTTTGAAAGGGTAGTGCTATTCACAATCCCCTTTTTACTAAAAGCACTTCATTTTTGTCTTTATTATGCAAAATTTACAATAAAGTCCTTCATAAAATATAAAGGCCTTGTTTGGTTTGTGTTTTGAAATATTATTTCAAAAATAATTTTTTGGAGAGAGTTTAGAAAATTTCAAAAAATTGTTTGGTTGTATATTTTGAAAATAGTTTTGGAGTTTGGGATGATTTCATATTTTTTTGTAGTTGAATAGATGAGTGTGTGAGAGAAAAAGTGATTGAGAAGGAGAGACAAGAGAGAAAAAATGATTGATTAATGTGTAATACTGAGAAAAGTGATTTTAGAATTTTTTTTAAAAAAAATTTCAACCAAACCTGTTTTTGGATTTTTTTTTTTCTCCAAAAACATGTTTTGAGAGACAAACCAAACATGCCCAAAGTGTTTCTGATGAAAAAGGAAGCAAAAATAGCACCACCGTTCTGCAAATGTAAGATACTTAATGAATTAATGCAAGGATTTTTATTGTTGTACACAACCATGAATTGTGCATTGATTATATTATTGTTATCATTAGACAAATCTGACGTATTTAAGCCTCTCTTTTTTTCTTGGTTACGAAAGGGTGTGGGTTAGATGTGAACTATTTCCTTTGGTTTGGTGTGTATGGATGCATGATGTTTGGTTCTATAACTTTTAGTTGTTGGATGTGGATGTGGATGTCTGGTTGCAGTGAACTCCTTTCTTTTAGATGCAGGATGTGGTTTTTCCTTATTTGGATGTGGAAACTAGAATGGTTCTATGAATTGTAACTTTGTCAAACTTTTTGTTGTTACTTACCATATGATTGATTTGTTTAATGTGAATGTTAACTTTGAATTGCTTTAGTGTTAGGGAAACAGATGCAAATGCAAAGATTTGAACCTCACTCCTTCCACACTAAACATTATAATTCATAAACTACAAAGTTGGTGTAAGTGAGGATTCAAACCTCAATCTTCCCACACTAAACATTATAATTCACAAATTACAAAATTGGTATTAAGACGTCTTACCATTTGAGTTAAATCTTCAAGTTTATTTGGGTCAATTTGTAAATGTTTGTGGTTCATTTTGTCAATCATGGTATTTTTATTTCATTTTTGTATAATTTAAATTAACTCTATGTATTTTTAAGTATTCATTAATCATATAAAAAATATTACATTTTTTGTGTCATTAATCAATCCAGAGGGATCCCCAAAATGATCCAATGTAGGATCCCAATTCTGACAACTTGGCATGATGTTAAACCTATTATACCATATCACTTCCACAATTGTAGCTTTCAATCCATTACACATAAATACTTCATTTTAAAACATCAGGCACCAATCCACTGCATTCGGTGGAAAGAACAACTTCAAAATCAGAAGACACTCGACCAACTCTCATACTTCCAATGAGATGAACTATTTTTCTAAGCCTATCAATATATTTTAATAGCAGTTCCTATTATGCTTCTTTGGCTATTGCACTTGAACAGCACACAAAAGTATATTCCACATAATCATCTGGCTGCATCTAATGAATAGTTTTTCATTTAATGCTATTGTGTACATCGAGTACAAAGTACCTAATCATTTTTGTCAGACTACAGGCTGAAAACCTTGTAGTTAGATCAGGCATAGCTAACTAGGAAGACTGCCTAACATGTTTCACCGCTACTTATCTCACATAATCACAAGTCATCTACAATACTTGGTGCAGCATTTGATAACGAGTACGAATTCACAATCTCTTGGAAAAAATTAGGATTGGGGAGTAAGGAGTGGGGGGGCTCTGACATCACAGTTCAGGAAAACATTCCACTCTCCCAATAAAACTACAAGGTTTTAAAATTTGTAGTTTTCAGTGCAACCAAGTTCATATATGAAGATGAATGACTATAAAACATAAGCTAATAAAACAGTTCAGGAAAATTGTAATATAGCATCAGAAGTTGTGATCAAGTATTCTAAATTGCATCATAAACCATCCAGACCAGCTAAACTAGACACTCCTTCAATCAGCTTAATTATTCAAAGAATGCTCTCATTTTCCACAACATTGACAGAATTAAGTACAGTTACAAGGTAAAACATTTTTTATTTCATTGCTTTCAATCTTCGGATCGACGCATTAATTTGTTCATTTCATATTGCTGCTAACATAATTGACACTTAAAACCTTCAAAAACTCATTAAATTTATACATTATCAAATAATGGTTAATAAAATGCAATTGCTTAGTCTATTTGGCCACTTTCCAATTAAGCAAGTGCACCTCCATTTGAGGTAACAAACTTCCATAAATCATGCATATCTCTGTATTACATACATTGGTGTAGCAATTGATGATTGACTTTGACCAAAGAACATCGAAAACAAAGTTGTGTTAACTCTTTCAAATTGTCTACTACATGTTTATTATTCCTACATCCTGTATGTCTCACAGACAGATGAAAAGGATGTACCTTCTCAATATTGTCCATCATTATCCCTTTGACCTCTGTTATTTGAGTCTTCAGTTTGGACAGCTTACTTATTTCATCTGGATGGTTCATACAGAGTAAGGAGTGGGGGGGCTCTGACATCACAGTTCAGGAAAACATTCCACTCTCCCAATAAAACTACAAGGTTTTAAAATTTGTAGTTTTCAGTGCAACCAAGTTCATATATGAAGATGAATGACTATAAAACATAAGCTAATAAAACAGTTCAGGAAAATTGTAATATAGCATCAGAAGTTGTGATCAAGTATTCTAAATTGCATCATAAACCATCCAGACCAGCTAAACTAGACACTCCTTCAATCAGCTTAATTATTCAAAGAATGCTCTCATTTTCCACAACATTGACAGAATTAAGTACAGTTACAAGGTAAAACATTTTTTATTTCATTGCTTTCAATCTTCGGATCGACGCATTAATTTGTTCATTTCATATTGCTGCTAACATAATTGACACTTAAAACCTTCAAAAACTCATTAAATTTATACATTATCAAACAATGGTTAATAAAATGCAATTGCTTAGTCTATTTGGCCACTTTCCAATTAAGCAAGTGCACCTCCATTTGAGGTAATAAACTTCCATAAATCATGCATATCTCCGTATTACATACATTGGTGTAGCAATTGATGATTGACTTTGACCAAAGAACATTGAAAACAAAGTTGTGTTAACTCTTTCAAATTGTCTACTACATGTTTATTATTCCTATATCCTGTATGTCTCACAGACAGATGAAAAGGATGTACCTTCTCAATATTGTCCATCATTATCCCTTTGACCTCTGTTATTTGAGTCTTCAGTTTGGACAGCTTACTTATTTCATCTGGATGGTTCATACAGTACTGCATGTGCTCTTTAATCCTTGGCCTTTTAAACAAAAAACAGAATTAGTGGTTAGTAAGTATATAAGATCAAACTCAATTCCTATCAAAATTAAGCAGGCTCTATACCCTTAACCCCCAACCCAAACAAACAAATAAAAAAGCCCAAAAAATAAATTAAAAGGAATGATGTACACACCCAAATTCTCTGTCAAGATTGTATGCAATACTAAATCGGTCTGGGAATAAATCATCTTCTTCATCATCATCTTCATCCCCAATGGAATCTGGACCATCAGTTCTTATACTAGCACCATAACGCTGCTTAAAGTCGTCCTTCACTCTCTCAAGAAACACAAAAGGCACACTCCTCCCAACCGATTCATCCGCCACAACAAGAAAAACTGCATCACCAATATCAACATCATATATTTTTTTCATTTTCTTTTAAATATAAAAAAGAAAAGAAAAAGAAAAGAAAAGATTCTGTTAATTTGAACAAAGAATCAATTACCAAATCCATTATCAATGAGAAAGTTGAATGTGTGCCCATCACACGAGTACGTGTACTTGCTGCTATTTGAAGGTAGCTTCTGCAAGCATTGCACAGCAATGGTACTGAAGTTCCCAGAATAAGGAGTGTGTTCAGCTAGAACAACCGTTCCTTTCGCAACAAAGCCATAAATTAAGCCTTTTTGACTCATCTCTCAACTATGACTTCAAAAGCTCCAAGACCCACAAACACAACAATAACCTACCAAAAATAGAAATCCGTCAAAACTAGCCAAATTCAAATTCAACAAAAGTATGAAGAGCCATCGAAGACCAGCATGCATTCAGCTTCCACAAACAGACACCTCATAATTCAAGCAACAAAATCCATATGTTCATGGGTATCCATCTATATACATCTATTTCTATTATCTACAGGGGAAATTACAATTCTGATTACTTTCAAAAAAAATAATTACAAATCAATGAAAGACCTATCAACATCAATAAATTGAAGTCATAAGTTTTTCAATGATTCTGTAATTATTCTTTTAAAAGTAATCTGAATTGTAATTTCCCCTTATATTTATTTATCTATTCTATTCTATTATATAAAGCGCACAACTCAAGCCTTTGTCACGCTTTTTTTAATTGCTAACAGCATCTCCAATGTTTACTCTGTTTTTTCGTCGAATCACCGGTCAACTAGGAGGACCACTGGGACCGGTCAACTGGCCAGTGTAAAATTTTACTGTAAATTGCAAGGAAGGTGGACGTGCAGGGGCCAACCGGCCGACTGACGGTGCTGTTGCTGCTGCTCAGTATTTTGATGAAAGGCCCCAGCCATCCCCAATTTGATGAAAAGTTGAAGATATTGATACTGATTTTGATGACAGCGTTGAAGCACCAAAACTGGAGTCTTTTCACCAAATTTAAATTTGACGAAAGAAAAGATTTGGAGACGCCCTAAACAGTTACAAATTGAACCCATCTTCTTCATTCATCAAATCGATCAAAAATTAGGTGCAAAATTACAAAAGCGATTTCAAGATAGCCTGGGGGGAACAACACAACCCATAACGTAGACGATTTCAAGAATAATTTTAAGCCGATGTTATACACACACACACACACACACACACACACACAAAACCCTAATAAATGGTTTTTCCATCACAAATCAGGGAAAAAATCAAAGGAAAAAAAAAGAAGAAAAAAGTCTCATACTACAAATTAATTCAAGAGTGAGATGTGGAAGTGTCGCACTGAAACCTTGATCTGATCGGAATTGCAAAGACCACAAAGACAGCAATATATATAAATATATATGTATAGGTTGAGACACACCGAGAGAAAACCTGAGATGGGAGATGTGGCTTACTCAGAAAAAAACATTTGTAATTATTTTTGTCCGGTTCCTAATTAGGTTTTTTTTTTCTTTTTTTTTAATGTTTGCAGACAACTCCTGTACATACACTAGCCAGTGGAATGGACTACTCCCAAGGAGTTATAATGGAGATTATCTTGACGGACTTTTCTCATGTGTGCCTTGCATATGGTATGCAAGGCACTTACACCCTTCTATTTTGCATTTATACATTTATATGTATTGGGTTATATCAAAATATTTGGAAACTTACACATTGGTGACCTGCTAAGCAGGTCACTTTCCAGGTAAATTAATAAAATAATATATTATATGACTAAAGGTGTAAATGGTCACAAGAAAAGTATAAGTTTTCAAGAAAGGCGTAAGGAATTTCAGAAAATACTAATAAGAAATATCAATCAAAAAATAAAAAATTACTAATAAGAAATATCAATCAAAAAATAAAAAATTACTAATAAGAAATATCAATCAAAAAATAAAAAATTACTAATAAGAAATATCAATCAAAAAATAAAAAATTACTAATAAGAAATATCAATCAAAAAATAAAAAATTACTAATAAGAAATATCAATCAAAAAATAAAAAATTACTAATAAGAAATATCAATCAAAAGATGATTTAAAAAAGTTATTATTACATATGAAATTTTTTTAATTTTAATTATTAATATTGATAAAACTTATTATTATTTTATAATTAATTTTGAAGTTTTGAACTGATAAGTTTTTAAAGTGTAAAATTGTAACACGTCAATATTAATGAAAAATAAAAAAGAGTTTTGTGGAGATATATTTTTTAAGTATCAACACGTGGCAAGGTGACGCCGACGTGTCAGCTGAGGTGCCACGTATCCTGGTCGTGACGCCGAGGTGATCTCGGCAAGGCCGAGGTTATTTCCGAAGATATCGGAATCCGAGATAAGAGGATAAAAGATAAGGAACAAGAGTCCTAGGATAAAGAGGAGACTTAGTCAAGATGAGGATAAAACTCTTAGGGAGTTGATCTTTATCTCTTGAAGAGTCCAAAGTAAGTACTGAATTAGAGTCCATAAGAAGTCAGGCTTCTTGTGAGACTAGGATTAAGTAAACTATAAAAGAGAGGCACCTCGTGGGTCTAAGGTACGCAATTTATGCTTTTGATACTCAAGCTTGTGGGTTTAGCACTTGATTTATCTTTGAGAGATATATTGACTTGATCGTCGGAGTGCCCCCAGGTGGACGAACCACCGCCGAAATCTTCTCTTTCTGTTGGAGGTCAGCCAGGTGCCATCTATTCTGCTGGTGCTCTCCAGCTGGTTACTAAACGGGCAACGTGGTCAGAAAATTACTCACACAATTTGGCGACGTATGTGGGAATTTAGAAGAATAGATGGCCAGTAACGGACAGAAGGAAAAGATTGGGGACGACACTCCTGCTGGGAGTGTCAGACCAATTGACCTTGACGTTGAAGAAGACAACCACAATGCAAAAACTCATGACCAGGGCCACGGAGAGAAAGACGTCGGCCAAGAGGGCGACACTTCGAAGAAGACAGACCAAAACAAGTACTATAACGAAGATAACCTCTAGGTATGGAGGGATAGGTGCCTACGGAGGGATGAGGAAGTAAAAGAATTGGCAAACAAGTTGGCAGACCTACAGTCGGTCGTCAACTTCATGATGCAAAACAATGTCATGCAGCCACTATACCCGCTGCACGACACGCCGATTCCAGCAACTAATACCCAGAAGAGAGGAAGGAAAACAATCCCCGAAGCCCCTCAGCACACCAGAAGCGGAAGGCACTCTCACTGATCTTCTAGGGAAGTCGGACGAGAAGAACCGAGACGAGAGGAGTCTCGAAGGACGCATCATACGAAGGACCCAGAGCCCAAAGAACATCGGCATGTTCAAGGGCAAGCGCTCTGCTTTGACACAACCCATGGAGAAAGATCAAAACGGGCCCACCACGAGGCCGAAAGTAGTGTGCCGAAAAGATTGAAATCCAAAGACAGCCGAACTCCGGAAAGGAGTAAAGAAGACTTGAGAGATTACCTCAAGAGGAAGGAACAGAATACTGAAGCCGAGGTAACTTCCCCGGCTAAGCCGAAGACACCATTCTCGGTAGAACTGGACAAATTTAAAGCACCAAAGAGATTTAATATGCCGAGGTTCCAAATATATGATGGTAAGTCAGATCCCAACTTTGATGTTGGACTATATCTGAATTCAATGGCATTATATAGTGGGAACGAGTCGTTGCTCTGCAAAGTATTCCCCTCATCCTTCGGGGAGATTGCATCAGATTGGTTCCATAAACTACCGAAGGGGAGCATAAAGACTTGAGAAGGCCTGGCCGAGATGTTTGTGGCCAGATTTGTGACGAACAAACTACAGCCCTTGAGGGTCGACGCATTAATGGCTTTAAAAATCACCAAGGATGAAGGCCTTAGGGCCTACGCAAAAAAGTACTATGAGGTGTTCAATCGAATACCTGAATGCAACCAAGAGGTGGCGGTCGTATCCTTCAAGAACGGCCTAAAAGATGACTGCCCACTACGGAAATCATTGGCAAAGACATTGCCAAAAAGCATGGAAGAACTCATGGCAAGAATCGAGAAGTACGCCAGAGCCGAGGAGGATGTGTCGGGAAACAAAGAGACAAAGCAGGAGTAAGGAAACGGCTCGCCGAAGCGAAGCCGAGGTAACAATGGACCGATCAAGCAAGAAACGGACTTGAGGGCTAAACAGGCAGTGACGACTGTATTCCGAGTCCCGATCCACAAAGTCCTGGATCAAATACGAAATCAACCCTATTTTAGAGCACCAACAAGAACACTAGGGGAATTTATGGGAAGAAACGTCGGTAGGCGTTGTGCTTACCACAATGAAGAAGGGCACCCAACTCAGGGTTGTAGAGCCCTAAAAGCACACTTAGAAGACTTTGTGAGGCAAGGCCATCTGAGAGACCTTGTCGATGAGGCCAGGACAAGGGAAGAACAGGCAAGATTGCCTCAAGCACCAGCAGCTCCGCCTCCCCCAGCACAGCAACCACAGGCAGGAGGACCACGGGTGGTTAATGTAATTCACTCAAAAATGAATGAAAACGACATACGAGGGGAGACCTAGAAGGTAAAACACCTACAACACGTGAACCAGGTCGGACATAAAAGACCTCGGCCAGAAGAATGCCAGGAACCGACGATAGCCTTTACTGAAGCCGACCTAGAGATGGTCCAGCACCCACATAATGATGCCTTGGTAGTATCCCTCCAGGTTGGAGAGTGCCAAGTGAAACGCATCCTGATTGATCAAGGCAGCTCTTGCGACATCATGTATGTTAGATGTTACAAGGAGCTGGGCCTTCATCCTGATGACTTGGAGCAATCCAATGGCCCGATGGTCGGCTTAAATAGAACGCCGACGTGGCCACTAGGCGCAACAAGCTTGGAAGTACAAGCCGGCACTAAGAAGATCATGACAGAATTCATGGTGATCGACATGCCTTCGCCATACAACATCATCTTGGGAAGGCCATGGTTACATGCAATGGGGGCAGTTCCCTCAACGTTGCATCAACTACTACGGTTCCCAACAGAGCATGGGATTGAAGAAGTCAGAGGAGATCAACTGCAAGCAAAGAATTGCTCCATGGCAGCAATGAAAACCACCTGCAACATTCGAGAGCCAAAAAAGGCAGAAATTGAAGATGAGGACGTGGAAGTCCTAGAAGACGTCGGCAAAGAACCAGCCGAGAAGAGCGAAGAGGCGCTGAAGAAAATCCTCGTCCAGGATGGGGATGAAGAACGCTTCTTTCTTCTCGGCTCGGGCTTAGCCGAAGAAGAGGAAAAAGAGTTTGAGACTTTTTTGAGAGCAAATATTGAGGTGTTCGCTTGGACACCTTACGAAATGCCTGGCATCGATCCCGAGGTCACTTGCCACAAACTGAATGTTGACAGATCGGCCAAACCCGTAATTCAGCGAGCCAAAAGACCGACGTTGATACACGTCGAAGCAGTAGAAGAAGAAGTAGATAGACTTTTGGAGGCCAGGGCCATTAGAGAAGTACACTACCCAACATGGTTATCCAATACAGTGCTGGTAAAGAAAAAGAACGGTAAATTGAGGGTCTACATAGACTTTACTAGCCTCAACAAAGCCTGTCCCAAAGACAGCTTTCCCCTACCCAAAATTGGCCAGCTAGTAGATGCCACTTTAGGGCATGGAAGAATGAGTTTTCTAGACGCCTACAGGGGGTACCACCAGATCACCATGTACCCCCCAGACGAAGAAAAAACCGCATTCATCACCCCAAAAGGTTTGTACTGTTACAGAGTAATGCCTTTTGGGTTGAAAAATGCATGAGCAACTTATCAAAGACTGGTAACCAAAATGTTCAAACACCTGATTGGCCGAATAGTAGAGGTCTACATCGATGACATGGTCATGAAAACCAAGGAGCCTAAGGGTCATCTTGCCGACCTAAAAGAAGTCTTTGATATACTCAAAACATACCGGCTCCGACTCAACGCATCGAAGTGCGCGTTTGGAGTGGGATCAAGTAAGTTTCTGGGGTACCAAGTAACAAGAAAGGGCATTGAGGCCAGCCCAGATCAAATCAAGGCCATCCTAGAGTTGAAAAGCCCGACATCGGCAAAACAGGTATAGATGCTAACTGGAAGGGCCGCAGCCCTAAACAGATTTATCAGCAGAAGCTCAGACAAATATAAACCCTTTTTCAACCTGATGAAGAAGGCCAC